TATTCTTGTTTGATCTTGTATGTGTAGACAGGTACCTTAGTGTCACTTGAAGCTCAGCCGATAAGCTGTGCCCCAGTTGTTGATCTCCTTCTCCGCCTCCCCCCTCTCTTTGTCACTTCACCCTTTATTCAACTTTCATTCACAAATCGGCGATGCCATGTAATTATCTACTTGTCCTTTCATCACTTTCCCAACTCTCATCACCTTACACTCTAACTTTAAAATCAACCTGAAACCCCCTATCATTCTTCACTTGCTCCAAATCACCTGAATATAAAGGGAAAGCATGAGGTGCCTCTGACCCTCAACTCTAGTCTCACTCTCTCGTCAGGCACATTCGTGCTTATTACCCCCATACCTCCAGCCTCGGATAGTCGCCCCATCCAGGACCCAACAGCCCCTTCGCCGCTAGGGAGTTTTCCCGATTACTTTTCGTCCGCGCCTATTACCCATATCAACATACAATCATGATTCCCGACGACCTTCTTGAAAAATGTCTCCAGATCCTGCAGGATCAGGCACTGGATGAGGAAGAACAGGTGGAAAAAGTGGAGGACTTCTTACGCGCAAACACGTCGTTGACGGGTACACCTTTAGAGAACGCGGTATTGGACATCCTCTGGCGCCATCGCAACCGAAACTTGCCAGACGCATCGCCTCCAGTCCGTCATACCGTGATTCGTCGCTCATCACCTGCGCCATGGCAGATGGCCCGATCATCTACACCGCTATCCCCTCATTCGACTCTAGGAACAAGCCCCGGGAGTTCCTCGTGGATGCAAAGCTCCCGTGGGCCCTTCGCGCGGCCTCCGCTATCGTCTACTGTTTCTCCGTTTACCTCCCCACGCCCATCGCCCCGGCTTGCTCTTGCGCAGCCTATTCCTCATTCCCCAAATCTAAACGCCTACGAGTTCTCAGACCAAAGTCAGATTTCTGACTTCTATGGAGACCTTGGGGGCGATAACAATGTTGACTGGCTCGTCGCAGATGATGCCAACAGTACAACATCGTCCGCCGGCGGTATCAGCACCCCCGGGGCACTCAGCGCCACTGCGGTTGAATTTGTTCCAGATATGAGCCCACATGATATCCTGCGCACGGTGCTGGGTGACAAGCGATCAAATGATGAAATAGAAGCCGCACTGGAGGCGAATAGTTATGATCTCGGTGCTACCATTGCTTCGCTCTCCCAGGAGATAGAATCCGAGGCGATCGCAAAACAACACGATGACGGCCGTGTTTTGGTTGGCAAGTCCATGACAATGGACCAAGTGCGCCCGGTCACGCCATTGGGTAGCAGTCGCAGCCCTGTGGTCTGTAAATACTGGCTGTCTACTGGACAATGCCTTCGAGCGGACTGTCGTTTCAGTCATGATCTAACCACACATGTGTGCAAGTGAGTGTTTTTATATATTCTGGACAAGCCAATTGTTCCTGCGCTAACAGATGTGAATAGGTATTGGGTTATGGGAAATTGTCTAGCTGGTGATGGATGTCCTTTCTCGCACGATCCTTCGGCACTTATCGGCAATCTTAGTGTCACGGATGGTAGTCGGCCAGCTTCACCCTCCCTGTTCCAGGTAGACAGCGGTTCTGACGCATTCCCACCCCTGCAAGCAGCAGATAACGGAGACCAATGGGCAAATCAGTACACGGGCCGCTACCCTGCCCATCTTTCTGCTTATCAAGCCAGCAAGTATGCGCCTCCTGGCCTCCTTCCTGGAATGGGCAAAAGAAATGGAAGTGCAACCCATCTCGGACGCCCGAGCTCCCGCCCATCTAGCCGCCACCAGAATCGGGAATTGAATCCTGCAGCACCGTCTGTAGACGATCCAGATGCCTTCCCAACTCTTGCTGCGGTCAATGCGAAGAATTCCGGGAAGAAGCATCATGGAAAACGGGGCGGTCATAGTAACCGCGAAACCAGCTTGAGCAAGGAAAGCATCCCTTCCTCTCTGGCAGATGTGGTTCGAATGACCCCATCTCCTGTCCCCGGGAAGACCAAATCTGGCACCAGAAACAAAGACACGAAGAGTCGCGAGAACAGTGCTGCAGCTCAGTCGATCCCACCCCCGCAAAATATCCCCTGGCTGGAGACAGGCACACGGGCCAATCAACAATATATCAAATACCGGACAGAGGCTATTCGCCACGGCACTGTGCGAAACAAATTCCTACAGAGGTAAGCTTTCGGCGATAACTATTACCTTCCAACACTTCTAACGATCATATCTATTAGCGCTGCTCAAGCTTGGAACCGCAATGATGCACGAGCTGCCAAAGCATTGTCGTTGCGCGGTCAGGCCGAGAACGACGCGATGCGCAGGTGCCACCGGGAGGCCGCACGCCAGCTTTATGAAGAACGTAATCAGCACCTTTCTCACAAGGGATTGGATGAATCTTCGGAAGAACTATACGTTGATCTTCACGGTCTCCACCCAGAAGAGGCTATCGAATATCTCGAGAAGATCCTGCTCAAGCATGCTCGAGAAGGCCTCCGAGTGGTGTATGCCATCACAGGTACTGGTCACCACTCGAAGAACGGCAAAGATAAAATCGGCAAGGCTGTTAAAGCATGGCTAAATGAGTGGCGGTACTTATTCCGGGAATTCAGTGTACCCGGTGAGCGAGGTGGTTATGTTGGAGGCATTCTCGGCATCGATCCAACCAGTTATGACAAGTCAGCAGCCAAGGAGCTGGCTAGTGAATTGATGGAGGCCAACGCTGGCGGAGAGCCTCCCATCCTAACTATGGGCAAAATCCATTTACTCAAGCGCGAAGAAATAGAGACTCAAGATCAATGACCTGGCGTGTCATTCAACTCAATTTGCGTCAAAGCGGCATGATACCCTACCAAATTTATCTATTGAATCCTTTGATAACTCAACTTCTTTTCAACCTTTTGGTCCAAAGCTGTGACTCAACCACAGCATACAGCAAGTACATCAGGGGAGTATATCGAATTTTTTAAGCAACCTTTTTTTAGGATAGATTCTTCTTGGCTACATGCTTCTATCCGATGACTCTTAGAACCAGCGAGGCAACCGAATACAATCCATAGTAGAAAAACACCCCTTTTCAAAGAAATGATGCACGCATAACATAAGTAGAATGATACAAGGATATCATGCATAGATAATACACAGCGCTACCCATATAGCCCCCCTACTCCGGCTCTTGATGCTGCCACTCCCCCCTCAAAGCATCAACATCAACCCCACAAGCCTCAGCCTTCTTAACAATAGCCCTAGCCTTATGCGCAACAGGAACATCAATCATCTTCCCATCAAGCGTCCAAGCACCCCTCCCAGCCCTCGCAGCCTTCTCATCCGCAATAACAACCCGCATAGCCCACTCCGTCTCCACGACATCCGGTCCAAATATCTGATCCACAACCTTCACCTGCGACGGATGAATACACTGTTTCCCATTGAACCCCAACCGACGACCATCCAGACACTCCTCCCGCAACACAGCCGGCGGCAACCCATCCCCATTCTCAGACTTGTACGCCGTACAAACGAGATCAATCGTCGACGGCAGATCCGCCGCCCGCGCAGCGGTGGCTATCGCAGACCGCGCGAACAGAAACTCCGTCAGCGAAGGTGTCCGCGTGAGACTTAGATCTAGCGCGAAGTCTTCGGCCGCGAATACCAGTCCTTGGAGTAAGGGTGACGCAGCGCAGATCTGAGATAGGTTTGTCAGGGACTTGGCTGACTCCACTAGAGCCAGGAGGGAAATTGGCGTTCTTTCTGTTTGTAGTTGTGGTTGCTGGGATAGAGTGTGGGTTATGACGTCTGTGACGAATGTGAGGTCTGAGGCTGAGTTGACTTTGGGGATTACGATTGTTGTTAGGTTTGGGGATTGGAGCTGGGTTGGTTAGCGGGTTGGTCCTTGTACAACATATGTAGGGGTGGGAGTATTTATGTGTATGTTGTATGTGTGTTTGTATTCAGGGCCACTCACGACTTCGGTCAAATCACCCAATGCTAGTCCGCTGTCTACGGAGTTGATTCGTACGGCGCGTTCCCGGATTCCTGGTGGCGCGACTTGGTCGATTGCTCTCCGCACTAGCGAGCGCGCCTCTGCTTTCATGTGTGGTGTTACGCTGTCTTCTAGATCATAGGTGACGCAGTCGGCAGTTAGTGAGCGCGACTTGTCTAGGAAGCGTTGGGAGGAGCCCGGGACTATTTGGTGTTGTTTATTAGCTTGGATGGTTTTCTTTTTTTTGGAGCTCGGAGAGTGAAATGCGGGGAAGATGCGGCTTTGGAAGGGAGCTTGAGCTTACCGTAAAGGAGAGAACGACGGAGAGTATTGCGGGCTGCCATTGTTTAGGTGGTGATCTATGTGTGCATGCAAATAGTATAGTGTTGTGTATTGTGTATTTTGTACTGTGTTTCTTGGGGAGTGGAGGTCTTTATGGAGTTGAGTCGGGAAGAAGCCGACTCGGTTATCCGTAGAGCCGCTTTGGCTATTTATGTCCCACGTAGAAGGTTGGTAGAGTCGATTTCTTTTCGGGTTTCTTTTTTTATGAGCAGGTGTAATTTATGAGATTGTTAGAATTGGTTATTCGTACTATTCCTGTGGGAAGTTTGGAAAAATATATCGTTTTCAGCAATATATATTTAGAGCCGATTGCATCTCTTCTTTCTAACAAATCAAAGGTTATACATAACTAGAAAAGATAGACCCTTTGGTTAGTATAGAGTACAGTACTCAGTTACTTAAAAACAAGAAACATACTAATTAACTAGTTAACTAGTTATGTACTATGATCCATATGTATAGTCTCGAATTCGACAGGTTTCCACTCACAAAAACAGTTCCAGAAGAAATCTATTATGAATCTACCACGATGTGAAGTCACTGCACGGTAGGTATGATACATATGTATATACTACACATTAAATCCAACGATTCTCAGTTAAAAATTTTTCGTACGGGTGTAAGTCTGTCACATGAGCGGCCCTTTTCCTCCCCCCATACATGATAAAATACCTATCGTATTCCAGATCCAGAGCCAGAGCCTTGTCACGTTAGCCTCGTTCATGATGTTGAAAAAAGTGGAAGTCACTTACTTTGATGGATTGGCCCCTAGCCTTCATTTCGCGCAGTATTTTGGAAAGGCTAGTATAGTGACCCTTTAGATCAAAGTAGATGGTCCCACTCTCATTGACAAGGACAAAGGTGTCATTTCTGCCTAACCACAGCTGCTTGATACTAGTGGGCGCAACAGCTGCTTCGATTTCATTTGGGAGATTCCACCACTTGTAATCATCCGTGGAGAAGAAATAGTGGCCACGACCTCCCAGGGCAACAGCCGTAGGGCGGTCCGCCCCGATACGCTCTTTGAGACGCCTGAACAGTCTCGAGTACTCGTGCTTGAAGTTTGAGCTGAAATCTATGGTGATGTTTAATAGTCATTTCAACACTGCGTAACACCAGAAGAGACTTACAGTTGTGTCCCTTTGTGCCGTAGCAGTGATGATACCAGGAGCGATTACTCCCGAAACATACATGCGTCGTGGTGTGTGACCGCAACATAGTAGGAAAGCTTGTATGGTCGGATATGTATTCCTTCCCCATTCTCCTGTTTGATTCAGTTGTTATCCGGTGTTCATAGGGGAGAAGGGGAAGGGGAACGTACCAGACCTGATACCTGGGTCCACAGAAAAAGTATCTAATGCCGGTTATGGACAGATTGTACTCTCCAGTACGGGGCCCTTTGTAAGATTCTCCCTGAATGATATGCGGTGGTCGAATGACATGCGGTGGTCTTTCTATTATTCGAGGGATAGGGTCACTAATAGAGTCATCGGAAGAGGTGTCGCTCGATTCCCAATACGGTGGTGGAGCTGTTGTTAACCGTGGCTCTTCGGTAGGCTCCGCTTGCATCTCATCGAGAGTCTTTTCCAGATCTTGGAGCTTCTTCTTATTATGTTCAGTATCTAGAGTCTGCTTCTCTAGAGCTTTATGCAGCTTCGTGATCTGACTCTCGTACTGCAACCGCATGTCTATCTTTAGCTCCTCGCGAGCACGTTCAATCTCGTCAATCTTCTTGTTCATTTTGGCCTCTGTCTCGCGGAGCTGCTCCAGCGATTCTTTGTCCTTGGCTGCAAGTGCTTCACGCATATCGTCTCGAGTCCTTTCGAGCTCCCGTGACCATTTCTCTCGCTCTTGGACCAATGAACTTTCAAGCTCCATGCCTGCATCTGTCTTGGCTAAAGGTTTGTGCTGCACTACCATCTCCTGCTGGATGGTAAGAACTGCTTTTCGCTTTGTTGAGCTTTTCGAGGCAAAGACATCTACCAAACTCCAGGCTGAATTTGCGTTATTCTGGTGCCGCTTAAGCAGTGCGCCGCGCATGATCATTTCTCCCCAGAACTCTGACGTGCGCTCTAGCTCTTGTTCGCGACGCTCACCGTCTTCCATACCGACTCTCTCCCACATGGTGGTAGCTAGAATCACATTCTTGAGAGCATCGGGACCGCAGAGCTTCTTGAACATGAAGAGGTTTTTCATCGCCGATCCCTGCATTCGGATATCTGTGATACGATGGAGGTATATGATGCCATTCAAAATCACTTTCTTGGAAGAAAAGGATTCCATCAGCCAATTTGCTATCTCGCGGAGCACATCCGTGTCACTCCGATGGGTGTCATCGAACCCTGGTGTATCAACGAGCCAGATGTTGGCCGGGCCGCTGGACTTGCATCGATACACTGCCACATCCTGGGTACCTATGAGTGTAGTGATCAGTAAAGAGGCTAAAAGGAAGGCACCGGATGGTCATGTCACTAACAAGCATTTAGGCCATTTCCCACAGGCACATGTGAATCAGCCAGCTGCGATATAAACGTGCTCTTTCCAGCTCCGGTCACGCCCATTATTGCAATGTACACATCGGATACCTGCTGTTCGATAGGTTCTCGAAACGGATAGTTGTTCTGACTGTGACTGCGCATGGATGAGGATGAGCGCTCCTTGATAGACATGGTGAAATGAATTTACGTTAATTTGTGTTGTGTTCGTGTTGTCCGGTTGCGAGTTTATTCCTTTATTCCTGTGTTTTCAGAAGCTGACATCCCCTCTTTTATGGCAAGATAGGGCCACCTGAACCCTTGCCAAGGACTCGGACTTCGCCAACTTTTAGCCTGGTTGCCTCGCATGCAAACCCATAACATCCAATCACTCCAAGCCACGTCGGGCGTCATCCGCCATCCCTGTCAGCAATGAGCTGTGAGGCGGCGAAGCATGGGGTTAGGGGAAACTCGTCTTGGTAACCCATACCTGCTTCACCCCCAAACATTTTGGGAGACGGGAAACAATATCAAAATGTCACAAGAAGGGGCATTCATGAGTCGCGAGAATTACACGGTCGGCTGGGTTTGCGCGCTACCCAAAGAGATGGTTGCGGCAACTGCCATGCTTGATGAGGTACATCCTCCTCTCTCCCAGCCTTTGCATGACTCAAACAACTATCGACTCGGTCGCATAGGCCATCATAACATTGTCATAGCATGTCTGCCCCTTGGTGTGATTGGAAATAACTCCTCAGCAACAGTCGCAACGAGGTTAACCTCTACCTTCCCCAGAATCAGGGTCGGCCTTATGGTAGGTATTGGAGGTGGAGTCCCCACCGCTGTTCGGCTAGGCGACGTTGTCGTGAGTGCGCCAGAAGACAGCCACGGGGGTGTTATACAGTGGGATTTTGGCAAAGCCGAGCAAGGTCAGGGGTTTAGGAGAGTTGGGTCCCTCGACAGCCCACCAACGATTCTCAAAACTACGCTTGCAGCCCTAAGAGTCAGACATGAAATGGAGGGACCTCAAATCCCGGAGTTCCTTGACACCATGGAAAGGAAATGGCCCAGATTAGCGCCAAAGTACACGCGGCGCGAGACACTGGAGGATACACTCTTCCCATCCGAGTATCAGCACGTCGACACGGAACCAGACCAACTAGGAGACGACCAGCTGCAATCATGCAGCAGCTGCGATTATAGCAAGGCTATTAGAAGAATTCCCCGCGACATGAGAGTTCATTACGGTCTTATTGCCTCTGGCAATCAGGTTATCAAAGATGGGAAATTTCGGGACGAGGTCAACTCCCAACTGGGAGGCAAAGTTCTATGCTTCGAGATGGAATCCGCCGGATTGATGAATGACTTTCGGTGTATAGTTATCAGAGGTATCTGTGACTATGCCGATTCTCATAAAAACAAGGCATGGCAAGAATACGCAGCGGCAGTCGCGGCAGCAACAGCCAAGGAGTTTCTCTTGCTTGTTCCTGGACAAGAACTGGCAATCATGCCCCCTATGGTGAGTAAGTACCTACCCCGAGCTACACATCCACGGGTAGAGTAAAGTACTAGGCCACAACCCCCACGGTAGTGCTTAGATACCACTCTTTGCTCCCTAACGCTGATCAAATTCTAGAAGTGCTAGACCACGTTGAACAAATTCAGTTGGATATGACTAGCATGAAAGGTAAGAAATAGATAGACCAGAAATGGACCAGGAATTGAATTACTTACACTGGGAAATGATAGACGTTCTGCAAGATCTTGATGATGCAGATCTTTTGCAGCGAATCTCAGATCTCGACCCGGCAGCAGACCACAAGAGGGCCCGCAGCAAACATGTCCCGACGACTGGCCAGTGGCTACTACAAGACGATTCTTATATATCATGGGCCCATGGGAATGAGCGTCTGCTATGGCTATATGGGATCCGTATGTTATACCCGGAAAGTACGGCTTTGGGATAGTCAAATCTGATATCATAACAAGCTGGGAGTGGAAAGACGATGCTAAGTTCGACGGTCATCAATGATATACAAAAGACCTACCAGCACGACCAGGGCACGAGGATTGCTTTTTTCTACTTCGACGTCACTGATAGCCGCAAGCGCACCGCGGAAGGATGTATACGCAGCATCCTGCGTCAAATATCGGCACCTCGGCCTCCCGAAGCTGTTAAGGCTCTTTACGTTAGGGCTAGGAGGATATCTACCCAGCCAACGGTGGCGTCAATCCTCTGCGTTCTTAAAGAAATCCTCAAGTCGCTGAAACGGTGTTTCATGGTTATAGATGGCCTCGACGAGTGCGATGACATCGGGACATTCTTGGAGACCCTAGTATCTATCAACGCGGTGGCAACAGTCAATCTCCTGGTCACTAGTCCCCTATGGCCAAGTATACAGCGAGCAATGTCGACTAGGGGAGCAATCAGAATAGAGATTGAGATGTCTCGAATAGAAAAAGACGTGCATACCTACACTCACCAAAGACTATACGGCAAGGAAGAGTTCTCTGGGCGTTGGCCAAAAGAGCTCAAGAAGCGAATTCATCAGTCGTTGGTTCTGAAAGCAGCAGGACTGTAAGTCATCATCTCATATCCACCCAGTCACTTCAAGCATACTCAAGCTTCTAGGTTTCGACTGGCAGAATGCCAGCTACGCGAAATCGAACGATGTTATAGCTATCACGACCTCGAGGTGGCACTCCATACACTTCCAACCAGCCTCGGTAACATATATGATCAGATGCTCGATCAGATTCCTTTAAAGCGGCGAAAACAAGCACAATTTCTTCTCATGTGGCTTGCTTTCCCTATGCGGCCACTACTCCTTGAAGAAGCTTCTGAACTCTTTGCCTTGAAATTTAACGGCACTTCGCCAAGATTAGATCCGCGAAGACGAGTCCTAGACCCTCAAGGCATTCTGTCGATATGTCCCGGGGTGATAACTGTGGCGCACAAGGACAGTGGCAAGCCAGACGACTCTAGTGGCCAGTTGGTGGTCAAGTTGGCACACGCATCTGTCAAGGACTACCTTATTTCTTGTGGGAGCCCTCCCGATGAGTCAAAGAAATGGTACAGTCTAGACGAGAATCTAGCTCACCATTCTATTGCTATTACCTGTCTGCACTACCTCTCACAATTGAACACCCCTAATGCAATTACCTCTAAACTCCAAGGTGACTATCCATTAGCTCAATATGCTGCTCAGTTTTGGCCATCACATGCACGATCGGCTTCAGCCAAAGACGGCTTTCGCCTGCAACTACTGATGGAGGATGTATTTGTGTTTCACGGGAACGTATTCACAAACTGGATAAGAATCCATGATCTTGATGAGCCGTGGAGGACCCGAACCAAGCCACTTGATGTATCATTTACTCCCTTTTTACCTTCGCCGCTCTATATCGCCTCACTTATAGGGTTAGATACCGTTGTATCCTGCATCCTTAGCAATGAGCCCGAAATCTTGACTACAGAAGGAGTTTACGGCAATGCTCTCCATGCGGCTGCGGCAAAAGGTCATTCTCGGGTGGTCAAGCTGTTGCTGAATTCTAGCGTTCCAGTTGACACAACAGGGTTGTACGGGACCGCCTTACAAACCGCAGCATATGAAGGACAGGCCGGAGTTTGTCATGTTCTTCTCAATAGTAACGCCGACATACACGCAAGAAGCGACGAATTTGGCAATCCTCTGGAGGCTGCTATCTACGGCGGTCATATCGAAGTGGTTCAGGTCCTCCTTGATAGAGGTGCCGATATCACTAAGCCGGGACGACACTATGTGGATAGTTTGCACACAGCCTGTACCTTGGGAAACTTGGATATCGTTGAGCTACTCCTTGATCAACGGAAGATCAATCCGCTCAGCCAGTCCTACAACCTTGCTCTCCAGACTTCCTCTGACCGCGGGTTTTCTCAGATATATGCCCTCCTCCAGACATTCGGGCCGGACCCAAAGGCTCGGGATGAACTATATGGCACAGCACTCCATGCAGCTGTAGCAGACGGCTACACTCAAATCGTCAAGTTAATGCTTGAGCAGAAGCAGGAAGACATCAATGCTGTAAATGAGGAACACGGAACACCACTCTGCATTGCCTCAACCACTGGCAACGAAGAAATTGTGCAACTATTACTGAACAGCGGAGCAAACCCCCGAATTCAATGCTCAGCGGGAACGCCCCTACACATTGCGTCCAGTCTAGGGCACTTAGGCGTTGCAAAGACGCTTCTCAAAACGACTAAAGCGAGCATGATAAACTCGATAGGAGGCAATTTCGGCACACCCCTCCAGGCGGCTTGTTATCGAGGACACGTTGAAGTCGCCAAACTGCTGCTTCATTCCGGCGCTGATCCTAATCTCCCCGCGGGAAGGTATATATCTGCCTTGCATGCTGCGGCTTGTGGCATTTGCCTCTCCGCGCACGCACAGACAGAGACTGTCCAGGTTCTTCTTGATTATGGAGCCGATGTTAATATTGTGAGTGAGGAGTTCGGCACCCCGGTACAGGCGGCTTTGTCTTGTGGTAATTTCCGGGTTGTGAAGTTGCTTGAGAGATATGGGGGGTAGATCGATATATTCTGACAATGGGAAGAAAAAGCAAATTCCATGTATATACTTGACTAGAGGTCTGGGTTGGTTTATCTGTTTGGTTTCCTAGGGCTTAGTGGTGGGATGGACCGAGGCCCTTCGTGAAAATGTGTTCACACAGCCATAAAAAAAAAAAAGAAAAACTTGAAGACCCTGCTACGAAGGGAGGGTTATAGCAGTTAACGTCCCACGCCATTGATAGCCATGACGTTGAACATTATTATTATCATGCCTCACAAGTTCGTCGTCACTTATACCCCGGCCATAGTTTTGACGCAGTTACAGACAATACACTATCATCCTGATGCAACCGCAGCAAGCTTCCGGTGCTTGGTTCAGAAGTTCTAAATAGTTTCATGCAAAGCTTGCCGTATGCATGCATGCATGCATCCACCCAATGGTGAGACTCTACTGGTTGGTTGCCGTACGCATGCATTCGATCGCTTTGTCAGTCTTTTTGCTGCATTGTCAAATAGTCTCTGTTCTTAGCTGTCTCAATCTGCCATTTTAAACGCCAGTGAGTCCGGAGATATAGCAATTCAGACTTTTTCTTTCTTGCTTCCTATGATCTCACCACATTCCAACGGGGATCAGTGTATTGAACAGGCTGTCAGTGTGCACGTGCACATCCATACGACCATAGTGTATAGAAAATAGTTCTTCCCACCCGCTTAGCGGCACTTAAGCTACACGCCGGTAACTTAGTAGATAAGTAGATGACTTATAGCGAGAAAAAGAGAGGAGAGAGGGCAAATAAGCGATCTCTACGACAGTAGGCCGGCAGCCTAAGACACACACCAGATCTTCCACACAAAAGCCTGTAGGTGAACTAATTACGAAGTATAACTATATAGTACTCCTAACTGTTACACCGAAAGATTGTGTGTATAGACTCTTTTACCCAATTACATGGGCCGCTCATCCGTTCTCGAAGACGTTGCTTTTGAGAGTGCCTTTTCAATTTCATTTCCAGCTGCTTTAATTCTCCAGATATGGATTGAATGAGCCTAAAATTCACCCCAGGTCAAACAAGTCTTATCTCACGGTCTGAGACTCTGAGTTTTAGCGAAATTGACAGGGGTTTTCTCTGAACAGTAAATAGTATCAGCCCAGGTACTACATTCCTGCCCTAATAAAAGCCCTTATGGAGATATGATCTACGGGAGCCACATGGTGCAATGCATATGGGTGCGCCTGAACGCGAGGAAGCTTGTCTCTTTTAGCGTGAGGTACTCGTTTATAGTCCTTCTGGATTAATTATACCGCCTTCTTAACTAGACATACCGCCCATTACTTAGTAGGTTTCATTGGTGGATAGTTAACCAGCAGAATCTGGGTCTTATCGGCTTAGCGCCACTTACGTTGGAAATGAATAACCGCACGTGTGGCTGATGGATATCCAGCATAGTCACGTGAGTGATTTTGAACATTGTATAGAAGTAGGGATTATGATCAGATCTTTTTATATAACCTATTTAATAATCCTGAAATGATAAGACTTTCCAGGATATGCTAAGTAGATGATGCAGCCGTTGCTAAGTCTCTTCCGCTGTAGCATTGTTATTCTGCCACAAGAAACCGCCTACACCCGTGTTTCGACCACATAGGGAGCATCATCAGTCAACAACTGACTTAACTTGGATCAAAGTGACCCAATCTGCCGACCGAGAGGTCCTTCACATTCAGATAACATCAAACTCTACACCTTGAAAACTATGGACCAAGGACAAGGTCAAGGCGACCTCAACTGGCGTCTCAGCGCGCACCCGATCACGCTACTTGTCTTCTTGGGCATTCGGATCGGTTTGTACTCCCTCACCCCGAGTAACAGCAGCAAGAATGATTTGACTAACTTGATGATTAGGTGCTCTACTGATGTATCTATTTGGTGTACTCTTCATCGATGACTTGTATGGACTTTGCACCGAACCACATGCTTGTCAACCCGCGACGCTAACGTCTACCTAGTATCCTCGTCTTCATTTTCACCCTTCTTCTCCTCTCCGCGGATTTCTACTACCTCAAAAACATTGCGGGACGCCGGCTGGTCGGCCTACGTTGGTGGAACGAGGTGGACACCTCAACCGGCGACTCCCAGTGGGTCTTCGAATCATCAGACCCCAACGTTCGCGCTGTGACAGCCACGGACAAGCGGTTCTTCTGGTTGAGCTTGTATGTCACACCAGCTCTGTGGGTTGGCCTTGCGATATTGGCTATTGTGAGACTTGTCGGTGTTATTTGGCTCAGTCTGATTGGTAAGTCACTCTCATAACCTTTACTTTGATATACGGTTGGCATTAGGTATTGACCTCGGTTTAGTTATTGCCCTCATTTTGACTATTACGAATACCATGGCCTTCTCTCGCTGTGATAAGTTTGGTCAGGCCTCCACATATGCCAACTCGGCCCTGGGCGGTGGCATTGTGAACAACATCGCTGGTGGCCTGCTGGGCAGGTTATTCCGGTAATGGTAGGCAGGTTAATGTCTGTCTTGCGGTTAGTGGCCCTATATCATCGGTCTTTTTGCATGTGCTTTGTATTTTTAGCAGCATATTTGACCAATTACCATTCAAATGCATGCAATTTCTTTTTAAAATATGTGGAGTCTCATCTGTAGCTCTAATGCAATTGAGCACCCCGTCTAGTGTAAGTTGCTTTAGAGATTGCGCGTTTGGCTGAGGCAGGTCGATCGCTCCTTCCTCGAACAGGCACTTTCCACCTGAACGTCACTTGCCCATTGTGTTCAAATGTTTTTGTTCGCTTTTTTTCCTCCACCCCTCTTCCTCTTCTTCCCTTTCTTCTTCCCTCAAACCTCAACCGTCAACAAACAGCCATCGCGTCTAACGCGCGTCGAAAACCACGTTGGTAAGTGTCGTTCTTGGTATCAAGCTTGCACTGTATCTCTCTCGATGATCGTAATCGTACGAGAGCGATCTACGTGAAAAGATCGCGTCTTCTCCTTAGTGATCTTGTCTCTTCTACCTGTCTTCTCTCACACCTCCCTGGCTCTTCCCCGCATTATTTTCTTATTTGTTCCGCTTCAGCCCTTCACCCTGGTGACGGGTTCTTCCACAATGACAAGACTGTTTGGCAGTATTTGACTAACAGGCATGTTTACCAAAGTGCACCAAAATGGAGCCCAATACCCATGGAGCCCGAAACGATGATTTCACCTGCGGACAGTGAGTTCTCCCCAAACATTCTAGCTTCCCCGGCTTGGGGAAATCCCCAAAGAACACCAGTCGCTCATAAACTCAAGATGCGGTGAACCTGGCCACATGACTCGCCAGTGCCCGAATGACTCGGTTCCTCTGGGACAGGGAGACAACAATGCAGGGTAAGTTGGTCCTGCACTTTCCATGTCATATTTTGCCAGCTCATCTAACCATTGTTGAAATATAGTGTTGCTCATGACAACTACGCCTACGACAATGGTGAATACGCCGGTGGCGGTGACCGCGCTTGCTACAACTGCGGCCAAGAAGGGTAAGTTGTTGACCTCTATGTGCTTGCTTCATTGTGTACTGATGACAATGCAGCCACAACAAGGCGGAATGCCCTGAGCCCCGCAAGATGGGCGCGTGCTTCAACTGCGGCGAAGAAGGGTGAGTCATTACCGGGAGTTTTGTGCTTTAATTTGCTAATTGACTCCAAAAACAGTCACTCCAAGTCCGAATGCCCTAAGCCCCGTGTGTTCAAGGGTACCTGCCGTATCTGCGAGAAGGAAGGTCACCCGGCTGTTGATTGTCCCGAGCGACCCCCTGATGTCTGCAAGAATTGCCAGGCTGAAGGCCACAGGACCATGGAATGCAAGGAGAACCGAAAGTTCGACCTCAACCGCGTTGCTGATATGCTTCCCCACGAGGGTTGGGCGGCAATGAAGAAGGCCAGCGATGAAAGGGATCTTGACGATTTCCGTGAGGTACCAGGAATCCATTGAAAGTTTCGAGCTTTGGCTGATCTAACTCCACATGTGCAGGCACTGAAGATTTACTCCAAGGCAGTTCCCCATGCCACTTGGGCTGATATCGAGAGAAAAATGCGCGAAGATAACTTCAACATCTACATCATTGCTATGGTAATAAACCATTGTCGTTTTGAAGTTTAAGGATGAATTACTGATGAATGAATCTTAACTACAGGAGGCTGAAGTTGACGATGTCATGAGCCTTATCGATCTTCAGGGAGTGCTTGATCGCGAGTTCGTGATTGGATTCTTTTTTAGCCCCAAGCCGTCGCGTGGTAACCTCCGAGACCGTTGGCCTGCGAATGCCGAGGAGAACCTCGAACGCATGAATAACGCTGGTGTTCTCTACGAGCGCAAGGTGCCTAAGTGTCTCAACTGTGGAGGTATGTGTTTACCTTTATTGCAGATTTCTCAGAATATTGCTAAACTATCCTGCTTAGAGTTGGGACATATCTCGCGCAGTTGCAAAGAGGAGCGCACGGAGAACGAGCGTGTGGAAATCAAGTGCTCAAACTGTGATGGGGTTGGACACCGCGTGCGCGATTGCACACAGCAGCGCAAGAACAAGCATGCTTGCCGTAACTGCGGGTATGTGACTGTGATGCAAACAACGAACTGGATAATGCTGACTTTCATGAAGATCTGAGGAGCATGTTGCTTCTGACTGCCCTGAGCCCCGATCTGCGGGCGATGTTGAATGCCGGAAGTGCAACGAAAGTATGCCAAGATCTTCTCCAAGATAATTCTTATATTTCATGATAAGCTAACATTTGTTTCAGCTGGCCATTTCGCCAAAGATTGCCCCAATGTTGCTGATCGCGGCCCTCGCACCTGTCGCAATTGTGGGTATGTCAAAATATCACAACCGGGGCCCTGCGATTGCCGCTTGTTCTAACATACGTACAGATCTGAAGACCACATCGCTCGCGATTGTGATCAGCCTCGCGATGTCTCTACTGTTACCTGCCGAAACTGCGAAAAGAGTAAGTGTGCTGCATGCCCTGAGGGTTGTCCTATTCTTTAGCCGTTATGTACTGTGGAACAGAACTGACAATGACTGCTTTAGCCGGACATTACTCTCGTGATTGTGACCAGCCGAAAGATTGGTCGAAGGTTCAGTGCAAGAACTGCGGAGAAAGTGAGTTGATCACATGCGCGTTCCTAATGCTGGAGCTAGTCTGCTAACAATTCTCTAGTGGGTCACACCGTTGTCCGTTGCCGCCAGCCGCGCAAGGATGAAGAGCCTCAGGACGAACCCGCTTTCTCTCCCGGCTCTCCCGCGCGTGAAGAACCTGATCTGCTGGGCCCAGAGGCTAACGAGGAACCGTTCGAATTCAAGCGCCATGATGACAATGACGACTTGTGGTAAACGCTACAATTCGATGCCGGACTGGGGCGACTGGGAAGCTCTAAGAGCAACCGCAATTTGACTTCCCTTTCTCCCCTTTTATGATGGACCCCATATGAAGACTTGTTGGGTGGTGACTGTTCTTGGGATACCTCACGGTGGCCCGCGGCGGACAAAAGCCCGATGTTTACATATGGGGTCCCTTGCTGCTCCTTAGTTGACTTTTTTTTCTTTTCCAATTTCTTGCGATGTGTTCGATGTTAGCCAATAGTTTTTCCCTAGGTGTTCACAATGATCGCTGACCGGCCGCAGGTCTGAATGGACCTGAGGACAGAGGGTCTGGGCAGGAGGCTCTTATCTGGGGGTATTCTCATCTGGCTGGCAAGTTCAATTTGAATGAAACATTCATTTAGTGCATCTTCCTGACTCGCTGTAGACTGTTGGTGTAAGATTCTATGAAAACGACCGCTAGGTTGCAGTTGTATTCCCGAACTAAGGGGATGGCGGCAGTCATTCAACCAAGAAGATAAAAACCTCCGCATTGTCGACCATTGGCCATTGATTACTGGTTGATCGTCACGATTGCTACTATATGTATACATATATGTAGTCGTAATAGTTAGTTAGCAGTTGCATGGTCAGGGGAGGTTGTCATGAGTTGGTATTTTACGATGCCATTACCTGGCTGATGTACATGTATTGGCCGAATCAGGAATTCCGGCACCCTATCTTCTCTTAGAAATATTGCATTGAATAATACATCGTTATTACCAATCTACTTAATGACATTTAAGGCGACGGCCTGTATAATTAGGTAGTATTGTATAAATACCAGGGTTGCAGTTTGATACGTAGATACGTAATAGGCATATCCGAATCGGGCATCCCGTACTCTCGGGAACCCCATGATTCGGCCTGTGCCGAGCAGACTTTTGTGTAAGAACAAGAACAAGTCAGGACAAGTAAGAACAGTAGTGTACTCTGTAAGGATGAAATAACACCGAGACTGTACTACGTAGGTAAGTATAAAAAAAACATAAAAAAAATCACCTACCTGTTTTAGATAGCGGACTTATCGATGATGTCATCTAGTCTGACTTCGGCCATACCAAGTTTCCGGGCCCTGATGCCGGTGCGGCTTATATGGAAAGTTCTTGAACCCCTTCCATGGCATCCCTGCCAAGTGTGCTTGGCACAACGAAAATATATACATATATATATATATAAACAAAAATCATGTAATGAGCGCAAGGTGCGTGGTCTAAGGTCCAAAATCAAGTTCACAAGATGTTGTACATAATAGTCTCTCTCAGCGAAGATCAGCGGAGAAAAATAAATGGGGAGTCCGGGGGAAACTGGAGAATCTCCAGGTTTTGGTCAAATACAATTACATACCTACCTAGGTACCTAGGTAGGTACCAGTCCAATTCAACAAAAAGTACCTTGAACCCACGTGAGATTCCGTAAACCATAAACCTTACAGCTGTCATACACACCATCTCGACGGAAACAGAATTAGAAATATACCCGTTGAGTGAATCTCGCTGCCATCTCGAATAATTACCGTACTGAGACAATACAGTCACCAATACCGGATGGATACCGCCCCTCGCATGGGCAACTGCACCTCTGAGACGCCGAGTTGCGTGGATCCCCGTGGAGGAATACCGTGGAATACCGATGATCACCCAAAGTCTTAGCCCGTGAAGACATACACCCCCGTTCCCTAATCAGGTCACGGTATAAATCACCAAATGCAACCTTACTATGACTTTTCATTGGCTTGTCAAAACATCATATTAGATGTGGATACCCTCCTTGTTGGTTTCTGAGGTTCATAAATCTGCACTTTCCCCAGGGCTTGTTGCGTTGAATCGTCTTTTCTCTGCTTAGCTGTAGTCTGTCCAATTCAAGTCCATTTCTTTGCTCCCGGCTAATAAGAATACTCGGACTATCTTTGTTTTTCTAACTTCTACACCACGTCCGCCGCCATGAAGCCATTCTTCGGCCTTCGGGGCACGGGCCTGAATATCATGATCGGTGTTATTGCTGGTCTTGATTTCTTGTATGTTGTTCTTTTTTTCAATTGTCCACTTTCGAAGTACGCAGCGCTAACGCCAAATTACACAGGCTATTCGGTTATGACCAGTATGTTATCGAAAGCTATACATGAAAACTCCAGTGAACTTCTTTTACTAACACTCAACAGAGGTGTGATGGGAGGTCTATTGACCTTACACTCATTTGTTACGGTCTTCCCCGATATCGACACCACTAAATCGAGTTCATCAACCAGTAGCAAGGCGACTACACAGGGTATGTAACTCAATGGCAATATTTCTTTCCATTCATATACTAATTTATCAGGAATCACCATCGCTTCCTACAACTTGGGCTGTTTCTTCGGCGCAATCTTCTGCATCTGGATTGGAAACTACCTCGGTCGCCGTAAGACAATTTTCACCGGCTCTATCATCATGGTGATCGGGGCTACGCTGCAAGCCAGTGCTTACTCCCTGCCGCATCTCATTGTCGGCCGCATTATCACCGGTATCGGCAACGGCATGAACACCTCTACCGTCCCTACATGGCAATCTGGTAAGTATTTGGCTCTATCGGAGAGGAGAATGGATGCTAATATTACTTAGAATGCTCCAAATCCCACCACCGTGGAAAACTAGTCATGTTCGAGGGTTCATTGATTGCTGCTGGAATCACGATCAGTTACTGGCTTGATCTTGGATTCTCCTTCCTTGACCCTAGCTCCGTTTCGTGGCGTTTCCCAATTGCCTTCCAAAACGTCTTCGCCCTGATCATCTTAATATTCGTGCTGCCGCTGCCCGAATCACCTCGCTGGCTGATCCTCAAGGGCCGCGAACAGGAAGCGTTGGATGTTCTCGCCGCGATCCTAGACTTAGATGAAAATGATCCCTACGTCCACTCGGAATTTTCTGCTATCAAGGATGCAGTCCTGGCAGCCTCGAGTGTCAGCTTCCGTGACTTGCTTACTATGGATGAAAATCGCCACTTCCACCGTGTGGTACTCGCCTACGTCAACCAGATGTTCCAGCAGATCTCTGGTATCAATCTGATTACCTACTATGCTGCCTTTATTTATGAGAACTCTCTTGGTATGGATGGCCTGACGTCGCGCATCCTAGCCGCGTGCAATGGCACGGAATATTTCTTGGCATCTCTGATTCCCATTTTCGTTATTGAGAAGGTGGGCCGACGAGTTCTGATGTTGGTCGGTGCCGCTGGTATGTCGATTTCAATGGCCGTTTTGGCCATCACCACTAGCTTTGAGGGCGAGACAAAGCCCGGAATTGCCGCTGCTGTGTTCTTGTTTGTCTTCAACACATTCTTCGCCTTTGGCTGGCTGGGAATGACCTGGCTGTATCCCGCTGAGATTGTAAGGATTTTATCTCATTTATTCTTTTGTGCCGAGACACCCACTAATAGTTCGATAGGTGCCCCTACGAATCCGTGCTCCCGCCAACGCACTCGCAACTTCGGGCAACTGGATCTTCAACTTTATGGTTGTCATGGTCACGCCCGTTGCGTTCGACTCAATCAAATATAAGACATATATCATCTTTGCTGTCATGTGGGTACATTCTGCGCGAAACGTGTTTGGTGCACGACTAACTCTATTCCAAATAGCAACGCATTCATCTTCCCCGTTGTCTACTTCTTCTACCCCGAAACTGCCTATCGGTCCCTGGAGGAGATGGACACAATCTTCTACAAGACATCCAGCATCTTCAATGTCGTTTCGGTCGCCCGCAACGAGCCCCACCGCTACGGTAAGAAGGGAGAGCTTCTTATCAACTACGAGGAGACCGATGAGCACCTGCGTCGCGCTAGCTATAATTCAGAGAAGAAGATCAAGCTGGCTAATGTGATGAGCGATATGGAGGCTGGAAAGGGCACCCATGTTGAGGACCGCAAGGATAGCTCGACTAACAGTAGTCAGGCCCTTTGAGAAGGTGGATTCTTATTTTACAGTACTCAAGCCCTTTGAGAAAGCATATTCTTATTTTATTCTAACTAAATATTTTTGTTACATTTTGCTACAAGTCAATCAATGATTTACGATTCATACATCTGGAATACTAGATAGGCATTTCATAAAATTATAGCATAGTTACAGTCATTATAGAAACATCATGTATGTCAAATATATCAACGACAAAATCCAGTCATAAATGATCCCTAGCCGTTCACAGCCCAAAGGCCAATCCACCAACCGCAGCAACCAAGACAGCAGCCAGGATGCCAGTCCCACTGACGCTCACACTTTCCGCGGAACTTGCCCCGATAACCGGACCAGCTGCAACGGTGTCATCTGTCGAATCAGACGCGGTGGCAGACGGAGCAGCAGCACCAGTCGCCAAGGTAACAGGCGCCGTCGAGCTTTTAAGAGAAGTTGCCGAGTAAGGAGTCGAGAACGAGTAACGCGACGATCTCCTACTAAGCGACGATGTCGCCTCCGCCCTGTTTGTCGCATAAACAGACCAGACAGTGCGAGTACTGGTAGTTGTCGAAGTAACCGTCTGAACCGTGTAAGGCGCATAAGAAGTCCAGTAATAGAACCAATAAGTCCTATGAAACAGTCAGCTCAGCGAACCACCCCTTCCTTCCAGCGAGACCAAGAAAGAAAGAACAAACAAACATACCAGTAGACAGTAGTATAATAATAATCCCAATCAACCTCCAAATAAGTCGTGGTAGCCCGGGTAGTCTCAACCTCGGTCTCCGTCACCGTGGACGTAACATCCAAACCCGTAAGCGTACCTCCAGACCCAACACCATCATATTCCCCAATACAACCCGTCAACGGACAACAAACCTTCTCCCCATCATAGACACGACACTTCTTCCCAGCCCGACAATAGTACCCACCAGAACAGCATTCCCCACCTAACGGCGCGCACCCCGTCGTCCCGGCACAGCACTTGAATCCAACGGCACACGTACCACCGCCCGTGCAGCACATCTCGCCCATATCGGCGCAGTACCCGTTCCCGCAGCATTTCCCGCTGGACGGACAGCAGCGGTTGGTGTTGTAGGCGCATTCGCTGTAGCCGATGCTGCATTCCAATGCGCGGGCGTTTAGGCTTGGGTTCTCGCTGAAGAGGGAGGATGCATCGTCTGTGTTGAGGGAGATGTTTGATAGGAGTTGGGGTTCGTTTTTGTTGGTTGTTGTGCTTGTTGCTAGGTTGGTGAGGAGGAGGGATAGGGATAGGGTTGTGAAGGAGGGAATTAGGAGCATTTTGCAGAAGTGATGGAGGTATAGAAGAAGCTTGATAACTTGATAGCTTGTGAGATTTTATGACGCCCCGCTTGTGCTCTGCGCTGGAAAATGTCGGAGTAGGATTTGGGGCGGAACTGTGATTTTAAGTCGCTGTCCCCTCGACACTTCCTATATCGACGCGGCTGGTAGAATGTAAATAATGTCTTTAGTGAGGCTGTTTAAGGTTATTGTTCGTATTCGCGGGGGTGTGTTCCTCGGTAAATACGAGATGGTGCCGCTTGGCGCCGGGCTCGAGCCGCTTTTTGTTATTGATTTACGAGTTTCTCGCTGGATGGGACCAAGAAGAGGAGTTTGGGAATTGCGCTAGGTATATAGGCTTGGTGCTAGGCTTATTTCTTGCTAGTAATGTTGGTGTTCAGGGTCTGGAGATGATCTTGGCTTTAGGGCTTAGCGATCCTCGTGATAGCGTTCTACTACATTTGGTTAGAGTCGGAGGCTCCCCTGGTGTTTCTTTGTCGAGATGAGGATCCAATCTTGTTGGGCAACAAATTGAACTTGTTCAGTTTTGTGCCCTCGTAGAGTTCAAGCTCTATTGTTGGAGAGGGTCAACGTTGTGAGAAGCACTGGGGAAAACACACAATAACGTTATCCTCTCCTTTTATACCCTTTGAGGTATATAGTACTACTACCTTGGCTGCCATTGAGCACACGCATTTGTCTAGTTTGAATTCGTTTGGACACTTCCTTATATTATTTTCGACGCTGGATACATGGCAAGGCATAAAACATTGAAATAAAGTGGCATTAAAATAAACGATGAAGCTCCGTAGTAAAGTAATTTATGCCTAGGCCATCTTGTACCTTTCAGTGGGGTCTCTGATGTTTCGATCTTGGCTTTAATTTGTATTTTTCTTTTCTCTCTCTCTTTGGCTCCTGAGTTGGATGGAGTCCCCAGTGAAGCCATGGTAGGGGTATTGTGGACTATCTCGCGTATCTCAAGGAACTCAAGCATAACCTTCTTTCCCAAATCGTCCTTGACAAGTAGCTCCTGCCGTTAACCGCCTTTCTCCTTCTTTTCTTGTGCATATCATGTTCCTTGGCAGTGCTGCCACTCTCTTAGCTAGAGCCTTACCTAGTTCCAGAACCTGAATATCCTGGTTTCGGCGCATGGCGCTAGCCACGAAGATACATTTGCAAGTCATAGTACTCAGTAAGCGACGTAGCCCGGTCGCATTTTTTCGGCCTCGCTGACCTGGAGCGAAATATACGCATCATGAACTCGTGGTGCATTCGATGCATCATTATGAGCTTGAAATTATTTCTGTCGAGTAATAAACCGCCATACGAATTTTTCCAGCTTTTCTCGATTTTTTGGCCAGTGAACGGACGCCTGAAGCTTTCATCGAAGATCACATCAATTCTAGTATCGTCCCCGAGAATCTTCTCGACGCTGCTTCTGTCCGGGGAATTGCGCGGAACCCTCAAATACTCGTCATACTTTTTGCCGGCTCTGGTGGTTCTACTACCACTCCTGACTTGACTCGGATCCCGGTTAGGATGTTTGGCTGGGGTGGGCTCGTCTTCTTTCTTTGGAGTTTGCTCGGTGAAGCTCGCCCCCGGAACTTCATGGGGCTCATTGTCTTCTGGCTTGTTGGTATTTTCTGGCTTGTTGGTATTTTCTGGCTTGTTGGTATTCTCTGGCTTGTCTGTATTCTCTGGCTTGTTGACATCTTCTGACTCGTTGCTACGCCGAATCGGGACCTCTTCACGGGTGCTGCTTTCAGGGTGGGCCGGCGAAATGCCGAAACGCATGCCAGCTCGGAGATTGGCCAAGAACTTTTTGAGCCTTTTGATTCTTTGACGCCAGTTGCCGCGAATATGACGGACGGAGAAACGCTTCTTTTGTTGGGGGTCGGCCCCGGATGCCGCGATGTTTGAAGACATTGTGAGTGGATAAAGGATGTGGGTTGTTTTAGGCGAAGATCCACCGATGACTGGATTATCACAGTAAAAGAGTTCAATGCAGCAATGTAAATGGTGTCGGGCACCGGGGGGTGACTGTGGATGGACGTGTCAATGTAGTGGGTGTGAGAATTCTAGGTAAAGGAGATAAAAGTTTGGGAAATGATCAAACCTCTGAGCTTTATATTTCCAGGCACACTTTTGCAGAAGAAAGCCTATTGGATTTCACGTGGAGGACGAGAGGAAATGTGAAAGAAAGGAACTACCCAACTGGCGAGTTGTAGGAAAATACACGATGTACATATATATACTTGCTTTCTGCTTTCAAATTCTAGATATGCCACTCTTATCCTCAGGCATCAAGTTCTGTAGACAACAACATACATAGTAACCATCATTATAGACAGAACCGCACTCTATATCTTACGTATATTGACCTTGCATTTCCAATTCCAATTTATTTTCAATAGCTTCTCAAGCTTTCACCTTTCGACCTGTGCCCGAGCCCTACTATTACCCGATTCGGATATGTGATAGACCACGTGATAATCCCGAGACCGGCGATCGAGATGGCAATGATAATTAATGATAATGAGAACACATAAGATCTCTAGACTAACTAGTTATTTAGCTTAACTTGAATTATTAACAATAGCAAGGAGTCCAAGAGTAGTTTTGAGTCATTGCTTGGCATATTATTTTTGACTGTTGGATATGACCTAATTGTATGTCTATAGCATTCTAGCAGCCAGCAGATGACAGCTAATAGCTGATAACTTTCTAAAACATCCGATCTGAAGTGAAAATATCCAAATATAACAAATAGAAACAAATAGGAGGTAAGGATAGCCTCGGGGAAACAAAGATTTAAGGTTATCCTCGGTGAAGAGCTGGGGCCAAAACACCGAAAGATTTTCCCTCAACCTCAACCTTCAATCTTAATCTCAACCTCAACAGCCATTCCATTCATTCTCGGATGTTGGAGCTTATGAGTCACGCGATTCCGTGCAGACCATAGGCCTTTCCTTATATATATTGGATAAGCCTTCCTTATATATATCGAAGGTCAAGTGCTTTTTTTCTCCGCCAAGATCCACACCCCTCTCTTTATCAGATCTCAAACCGGAATCTTCCTTTTTCTTTCGGAGCTTCATATCAAGGTATGTATTCGTCTCTCTAACCTCGGTAAAGGATTATTCTTTTCCGAAGGAAATTGGGATATACGAAATGACCTCAATTTCACTAACTTATAATTCACAGATCTCAGCACTGCTTCAGCCAGCGCTTTAGTACAGTCAATTGACTGTTTGCCCGCAAAGAGGCCAAATAAAAAAGTTTATACACTTATAATAATTAATAATAAAGTGACAACATGTCCACCGAACATCAACATGCCTCTGTCGGCGTTGACAAACAACCTGTCGTCGAGGATATCTCCGAGCGGCCAGAAGCAGCTCAAAGCCAGACATCCTCAGACGACAGCGAGTCCTTGGACCACAGCGTGGCCAACATCGAACGAATCTACAGGTGAATCGTACCTTCGAAAGCCAATTCAATATCAGAACCTAACATCCACTAGAAAACTGGACCGTCGCATTATCTCCGCGTTCTGGGTCCTCTACTTCCTCTGTTCAGCCATTCGCTCAAATGTAGGCCTGGCACAGACAATGAACACAGACTCGGGCCATGACCTCGCAAGCGTGCTCAACCTAACCCGACACGAGATCTCAACCGGTCTCGCCCTGTTCTACGTCTGCTACGTGATCTTCGATCTCCCCTCAAACCTAATCATGACCCGTCTAAGCCCCCACGTCTGGATGAGCCGCATCGTGATCAGCGTAGGCCTAATCGGAAGCTGTCTCGCCGCAATGAAAGCAGCATGGAGCTTCTAGTACGTTCAACCCCCCATCCCCTCTCGAAACTCCCCATTCACTATCCCATATCACACCAATACCTAACAAAGTCCAGCCTCCTCCGTCTCCTCCTCGGTATCGTCACAGCAGGAATGTGGCCAGGCATGACATACTACCTAACCCTATTCTACCCGCCGTCACGCATCGGCAAACGAATCGGGCAATACTTCACAGCCTCCCAAGTCTCCGCCGCAGTGGTTGGCCTCGTCTCCGCCGGCTTCCAAAAAATGGACGGCGCCCAAGGCCTCGTCGGCTTCCAATGGATGTTCCTCGTCTACGGCGTCATCACCGTCGCCTTGGGCTTCGCCCTGCTATGGTGGTTACCAGACAGACCCACGCCGCCCGGCGAACCAGCCCCGAAACGCTCCTTGATCATGCGCTGGGTACCGACCACCGCACCCGCGCTGAAGGGCGCCGATGCCGTCGTGCATTACCATGATCTGAAGCGTGTGTATCACTCGTCCGCGTGGACGATGCGGGATCTGCTGGCGGTGTTCTTGGATTGGAGACTTTACCCGCTGTTGGTTATGTACTTTGGTGTTGTGGGAGTTGGTATCGGCGTGCAGTTATATGCGAACGTGATTATCAAGGCCATTGACCCGACTTTGAGTGATATTTCCTTGAGTCTGTTGACGGCTCCTATTTGGATTGTAAGTTTTTTTTTTTTTCCTTTTCTTTTTCCTTTTTTTTCTTCATCCATCCATCCATTCGCTAACATCGCACTTCCCCTTCCTACAGATGGATCTCATTGCCATCCTCCTCGTAACCCCACTCTCAGACCGCTTCCACCGCCACCGCGCAATCTTCTTCTCAATCCCCGTCCTCCTCCAAATCCTCGGCCTCCTCCTAACCAGCTACGCAGGCACAGACGCAAACCCCTGGCCACGGTACGGCGGACTACTAATCGTCGGATTCGGACTTGGCCCCACAGTCCCGATAACAATGACCTGGACGACGGAGATATTCCAGCCTCGACACGGCGAGGTCGGCGTAGCTGCCGCGTCGGCTGTTGTCTCCGGTCTCGGGAACTTGGGCAGTATCCTTACGACGTATGCGCTGTATTCTGGTTGGAAGAGTGACTACGAGGCGCCTGGCCGTGAGAAGTATAGAAAGAGTAACCTTGTCATGATTGGTATTCTGGTGGCGAGTATTCTTTCTGCGGCGTTGATGGAGGTTATGTTGCGGTTTGTTGATGGGAGGTATCGTGGTGATGATGATGCTGATGTTGCGGTTGATGGGGCTGCGAGGCGGGAGGTGCGTCAGCGGGGTTTGCATGGCCTTGGGGCTGGTGTTACGCGGTGGTTGAAGCTGGGAAGGTGATTGATAGGTAGACTTGTGTTGTCTGTGTCTATGTGTTGGGGGGTGTGACCGTGGTGGAACGGTAAAAGTTCTCATTTTGCTGCTTTGTTGATTGATGTGTGGGACTTCTATAGAGCGATAGAAGCATAGAAAGGAATGAATACGATCTAATTTTGGACATAGATGGCTTTTGGAGAATATGCTTCGTAAGGCAAAACTAGTCAAATAAATGAACTGAAGTATTCTAGATGAGACTGTCATACAGTCCATGCTCTATAAAAGGAAGACTTCCATTGGATATCAGAATGTGATACTAGATTGAGTTCAAGATCCTTCCATGTGGCTCGAAAATGAGACACCCGAGACCAATGGGACTAACGTAGAAAAAGTACAAGAGCTCAACTGCCAAATAGTGCTGATGTTGACTCAGAACACAAAAACTACTCCAAGAAGGTGAGGGTCAGTGCAAATGTTGAACTTGGTATTAATTGTCGATTCTCCAGAGGAACGATATCAGTATGATATCTCTCGATAAACGATGGTGTGATTTTCCCATCTTTGAATATTCTATGCTATTGTACGTGTCACATTACCCTGTGAAGGGCAGTCGAGAGAAACAGAAAAAGAAAAAAAAATAAGTGCGGCTGGTGCAACGAGGGAGGGCCAGCAGTAACGCAATAGGCGGACACTGGAACCGGGAGAAAGAAAAAAGGATAGAACACGAGAAGAAAGACAGGAAGAGGAAGAGGAAAAAAGACAGATCACAGAACATCTATGGGGCTCCCTCACGCAGTCAGGCCGCTCTGGTCCGACTCCCAGGTTGACGCCGAGGGTATCGGAGCGCTAAGACCAAATGATTCCTATGCATTTAGAGACCACCACACATAGTCTCAACGATGATACCAGTGATCTGGTAGGGATCAGCGTTCGAGGCGGGGCGACGATCCTCAAAGTAACCCTTGCCGTCCTTAGCGCACTGGCGGGGGATACGAATGGAGCCACCACGGTCGGCAACACCGTAAGAGAACTTATCGATGTTACCGGTCTCGTGGCGACCGGTGAGACGCTCCTCGTTGCCCTCACCGTAGACGGCGATGTGCTCAACGTGGCGGGCCTCGAACTTCTTCATGGCGGCCTCGATAACCTTCATACCACCCTCGGCACGAGTACCGTTGGTAGAAACGTTGGAGTGAAGACCGGCACCGTTCCACTCACCCTTGATGGGCTTGGGCTCGAAGGAGATACGGACGCCGAACTCCTCAGCGACACGGTGGAGAAGGAAACGGGACATCCAGAGGTGATCACCCACTGAAAGAACAAAAGTTAGTCTCAAAGATATTTCATTGTCAGGGATTTGACAAACTTACTGTCGATACCCGGGCAGGGGCCAACCTGGTACTCCCACTGGGAAGGCATGACCTCAGCGTTGATACCGGAGATGTTGATACCGGCGTACAAGCAGGCACGGTAGTGAGCCTCGACAATATCACGGCAGTAGACCTTGCCGGTACCGACACCGCAGTAGTAGGGACCCTGGGCACCGGGGAAACCGCCACGGGGCCAGCCGTAAGGCCAGCCATCAGTGCCAAGGAGAGTGTACTCCTGCTCCAGACCGAACCAGAAGCCCTCGTCGGCGTTGGTCTCCATCAGACGGTTGGCTTCATGACGGTAGTTGAACTTGTTGGGGCTTCCATCGGCATCCCAGGTCTCGCAGAGGACAAGGATGTTGTCACCTTGGCGGAAGGGGTCGGGGTAGTAAGCGACGGGTCG